AAAAAATCTGAAAAAATAATTACAATAAATTATGAACTAGGTACTTTATACTTGATAAACAACTATAAATTATCTTGTGGCTTATATGTAAATTGTAAAAAATATAGACTAAATAATTTGTTTTATAAGCGTAGGCCACTAGTCGTAGAGTTAACCTTTTAACTAGTGCAATTTTTGAGTATGAAAACTTTCAGATAGTGAATTGTTTTTATGAACAATTTGATATTTTACTTGAAGTAAAGAAGTCAATTTACGTTTATACATTTTTTCACAACATATTATAGACAATAATACTTTTTGTCGTTTTAAAATTAATTAACAAAAATAAACATCTTATTTTAAAAACAAACCAATAAGTATTTATAAATAATACCTTTGTTTAATGTAAATAGGTTAAAAAAAGTTCTTAAAAACAAAATGTCACATAACTTTTGCATTCTGTTTTAAAATAATCGTTAAAACATGAATAAAAAAAAACCAGTACAGTGGGGTCGGTGCATAGTGGGGACGGAGCATAGTTGGGTCGGGGCATAGTGGTGACGGGGAGGTCACAGGTTTACAGGAATTTTTAAATCTGAAAGTGATGAAATCACTTTCGAAAAAACGCTTCGATGCAAATCGGTAGTTAGTATTTTCAAGCCAGTACAGTCCAAACCAAGCACAGTATAAACCAGCAAAGTTAGAAAGTTTTCAATGAAGGTTCTGTATTTACAAATGAGCATCAAAGCGTTAATTTGAAAGTGATTTTATCCGAGAGGACTAGTACAGTAGAGTATTGGCATAATGTAATCAAAGCAATGAGGAAACGGAGAGGTCACAGGTCTACAAGAATTATTATAAGTAAAAGTGATAAAATTGAATAAAATCGCTTTCAAATAAACGCTTTGATGCTCATTTGTAAATACAGAACCTTCATTTAAAACTTTCTAACTTTGCTGGTTTATACTGTGCTTGGTTTGGACTGTACTGGCTTGAAAATACTAACTACCGATTTGCATCGAAGCGTTTTTTCGAAAGTGATTTTATCACTTTCAGATTTAAAAATTCCTGTAAACCTGTGACCTCCCCGTCACCACTATGCCCCGACCCAACTATGCTCCGTCCCCACTATGCAGCGACCCCACTGTACTGGTTTTTTTTTTTTTTGCAAAAACTTAGTGGACCAAATAACACAAATACAATGTCTTGTTATATTTTGTTGGAATGGTCGACGATTCATGTTTCAATCGTTTGTACTCCATAGTTTAAATTATAATCGCTTATTCTCAATAAAATTAATATTTATGTATTATATACTTCCATTATAGCAATCTCACACAAACTATTTATACTTCACAGATTATATTATTTCAAAGCTATATTATACTTCTATTTTACTAGATTGACAATGTACAAAATAAAATGCAACTAAAAAAACCTTTTCATAGATCCTTAAAATGTAAAGGGTGGGTTAGTGAAACGGGTTTTACCATTTAAATACATTAGAAAATCGCCGTTTTACTGCCTCATCCTGTATATTAATTTCTTGTTATTTTCTAAAGAAAAATCGATTTTCTTACATTTAAATTAAAATAAATCGTATACTGGTACTGTGATGGAGAAAACAATAAATTTTACCTACATTTATTACTTATTAGTTAAATATTACTAACGTGTATAGCCACTAGCAGTCGGCTGTTGCCTGTTATTTAACAATAACCTTTAATGGAGATTTTAAAAATTGTGTTTTTTTAATGATAGCATAGGAGCAGTATCATGATGTTAAATGTTTACAAGATTTGATCTATTCATAAAATAAAGTATTATCATTTATGACTTAATTATTATTAAAATTTATCTTAATAGTAATAGTACATAGTAATAAAATAATGAAATATTTTTTACAAAATTAGAGCTACAAGTTGATAAACTAAAAAAATAAAATTAGCACGAAGCAGATTATCTAATATTAGACAATTTAAACAATCAAGCGTGAATCTCTTTAAATGAATAACAGTATAACAATATACAAAACATTAGTTTTCCTTTAAAAAAATTGTGTAATAAAAAAAACATTTTGAGTCGGTATACTGCATAAAAACCAACACTTAATCTGAATCCAAAAAACAACACTCCTCTTCATTATTTGCAGGTAGTTGGACATTAAATACTCATAGTTAACCTTCGGTAAGGTTATATAACGCAGGCTATAAAATAACGAGATAACGACAGTGGTTTTGTCGTATCAGAATCATTAAGTGTCTTAATAAGTACACGACCAGGTTTTTTTCACAATAAATCGAGTGTCTACTATAATCAGTTACACGATTTAGTCGCCTGTGATATCATGTAATAAACACAATATTATGATACCGATCATTGGGCCCTAAACTAATCTAACACGGATAGACGTTACCAACTGATAGTTTTTAGTGTCTGTTCGTTTCTCACATCTGGTACACTGGGTTTTTAGTTAAAAATTTAAACTTTGTGTAAACTTTAAGTCAAGAGTGGTACTTGAGCACAAAACCTAATAGTATCATTCTGTATAGATATAAATAAAATTGTTTTAATGATTTGATCAATTTTTTTTAAAGATTTCAGGTGTTTTTGTTAAAATATACGCAATGTGCGAAAACACGGTTTTCCGGCAATTAAAAAAAAACTGTAGTGCCGAATTTTTCACCCGCTTAATATGTTATGGATACATATGAGTTCCAACTACTGGCAAATTTTCAACCCAAAAGTTTTAAAATTACGGCTAAAAACCCCGAAAAACAAAAAAACTTGTACCCCCCCTAGGGGGGCGGGAAATGGGTATATTTTGAATTTGACAAAACTGACGTGCGCGGGCATAACAAATAAATATTTCTTATACATTTCAACTCGATCCGACTCTTTTTCTCGATACTATAGCCAGTAAAAGTTCTAACTTAAAAACTCGTACGGTTTTTTTTTTTTGTTTTTTCAACTTTCGTCTATGAAGACTTAAACTTTTTCAACTTTTACCCCCCCAAAGTACAAACTAGACAAAATTTGTGATTTATAGAGTTGCTATTCAAAGGAATTGGTCTAGTATTAAAAAAGTTACAGTGTATACAGCGAAAAAAAAAGCCCACATCAGAGTAAAACCAATACCTTCTCGCTTTGCATCGAAGCTAAAATAATAAAAATACATTTTGATAATACCGTCTTCCAGGATTAGGTATTTTATAAATGTTGGCAAACCCAAAATATATCATAAATCCTTTGCACCAGAAAGGATTGAAATTTTTTCTTTTAATTTTTTTAGGTGAAGTTTTAAGAGTTTAAGGTTTGAAGTTAGGTCAAAGGTAGATCTAGAATGGGCCACTAGCATGTACAATTTTTTAAAAAATCCTCTCCATTAGCATTTATTCTATAGGCAATTTGTCACTAAAACTTAACATTAAGCAAACATTTTTAAACGTACATATTACCATAGAAAAGAAGGATCTATTTTCATTAATTTTTTTTTAAACTTTTAACGCATATAGGATCTATTTTTGTACAAAAACATACGTTTCTACAGAACTTACCGAAAAATACTCTGATTTAAGTTTTGAATAAACATTTGAATTCTTCGTAGCATCCATCTTGGAACAATTTTAAAACTGTTTTCAGTTAATTAATTATTTCAATTTGAAAAACTGAAAATTTTAACTTTTTAAACTAAAATAATTAATTAACGAAAAATTATTTTAAAATTGTGCCACAGAAAATGTTTTGAATTATTCAAATATTTAGAAAAAAAAAACTTAAATCGGAGTGTACTGCGGCAAGAGATTTAAGCAGCACACTTATAAGACTTAGAAGATATTAAAAGGTAATTCAGACAGGGAAAAAACAAGTTTATAGTCATGTTTAATTACCACTTTTAAACACAATAATAGTTCAAGACAATACTTATAATAGTGACACAAAGTATCAATTAGATCACTGAGTATACTAATTAAGTACTGCGGTGTCTAGCTTAATAACTAGTGCCCTTTTATATTAATCTAAACAATGGTTAGTCTTACTAATACAACTTACAAGATAAAATTTTTTCTTAAATTTTATAACTATTCTAATAAGTTATGTAATATAAACAATACATTTTTATTTTTCCTTTTAGAAACCGTATTTTTAGCACGTTTTTTAGCATGTGCTGTCAGATTGCCATCTGGGCATTTTTTTTTATCACCGTTTTGGTTAGTTGGCTCTTGTGTGTCGTCTCTGGTTTTTTTTTTCCTTCGTGTCGTTGCCAATATACAATCAATTACTGTCTGTGATTGCCGATGTTTAGTTCGTTGCCGTTTGTAGATCCGATATCTTCATTGCTTCGTTGATTTCCCACCGGTTGGCAAATCATCGAATCGATTTGTGTCGGTGAATTGCTTTGCATATATTATCGGAATTACTTCTTTGTTAGTAAATAAATCTAAATCGATAATCACACTTGTCGCGGGCAAAAAGTCCGTATCGTTTGTTGTGACCGATAATGCAACTGGATTTGAAAGATATGGTAAGTGTTGCTGACTCTTTTTGTCCTTCACAAGCGACCACAAACGTTTCCTCGGATGTTGTATAATATGACCACTTAATTTTTGGTATACATTTTTATCTTGTAGAGGGAGGGATGTAATAATCCCAATACTATTGTTTGTTGTTATTAGTCTGTACACCACTACTTATTACATCTCTCCCTCTACAAGATAAAAATGTATACCAAAAATTAAAATTTTTCTTAAATTCTACAACTATTCTAATAAGTTATGTAATATAAACAATACATTTTTATTTTTCCCTTTAGAAACCGTATTCCAAACGTATCTTAGCATGTGTTGTCAAATTGCCATCTGGACACGTAGGAAGCGGCGTGCTATTATTTGCGACGCTCGGCTCGCATACCGACGCGGATGAATACCCCTGCTCGAAGTCATCTGGCCATCGGTGTTCCAACGGTATTTCTTCATTACCGTACTCGTTGTTTTGATTTGTTGGCACTTGTGTGTCAACTCTGGTTTTTTTCCATCGTATTACAATGAAACATGAGCAGCCCGCTGTATTCCTATACATATTATGCCTGCTGCCAAGACATAATTAATTATAGGTTGTATTCGACGGTGTTTAGCTCGCAGTTGTTCGTCGAGCTGTTCTCTCAATTGTTTAACTGACTTCCCAATGGTCGGTAAATCATTAAATTGATTAGCGTTTGTGATCCGCCTTGCATCTACTACTGGAATTACATGTTCATTAGTAAATAAAGTTAGGTCAATTGTCATACTTGTAGTGGGCACAAAGTCTGTATAGTTTTTCGTGATCCCCAATGCAGCCGGTATCAACAGATCGTGCGATGCGTATGCTTTGCATGTTTCGGGTAGTGATAAGGCGCCAACGTCGTTTATGGTATGAGCGATGGACTCCTTTTTCCCGTCGCAAGCGATTACAAGCGGTTCTTCGGTCGTTGCATACAACCATTGGTTCTTCAGTTGCAATTTGTGAAATAACGTTGCTTCCAGTTGGAAGTACATCATTTCACAATTTTCTGGTAAGTCTTTTGAGTTTTGGAACAACTGTACCTCGCACGGTACTTTATTCTTACGTGGGTGGATCGCCTTGGTTTCAGGGCACAACATAAATGTTTTTGATTTTTTACATCTTAAAATATCTAGATCATTCAAAATACTATAATATTCATGTGTTTTACTTATTGCTACAAAATTATAGTTAGGTTGAATATAGACAAAAATATTATTCACAGCTTTTACCGGAAATGGTACAATATTATATAGTGTTAGTTCTTGTTCATATGTTAATGGTAATTTGATTAAAAACACCATTCTACCATCAGCGTGATATATCGTGATTTCCGATAATTTTAATAATTCATATATCCCTGTTAACCCTAAGTCAATTGGCAAATCCGTTCCACTGGGTAAAGAAATTTTTATATCTTTAAATTGTTCCAAAAGTTCTTTTGGTGATAATATGTTAGGAAGAATCAATCCTATTTTTGCATAGTTAATTATTTCTGATTATGTAAATAATTCCAAAATATTTTGTTTTTTAATTATTTTGATTTGTTCATTTTTCATTTTCCTTTGTTTCCATTCCAATTTATTAAATTTATTAATTTATTTATTTGAGACCATATAACTGTCTAATTTTTCAGATATTAGACTAGCTGTCTTTTCTAAAATGAAAAAGGACAAATCCCTTTTCTCCCCCTCAAAGTTTGTTGATATCACCTTACTCATGTAAGATAAAATTTCTGATAAACTTGGTTTTATTATGTTACTTTCCCTCATTTCTTGTACCTGGTTTTCAATCTCCTGCTGAAAAGCTTGTGGCAACCTATACTGTCTAATATTTATTGGTTTCATTTTATCATCCCTTAGCGTGATATTATGTTTATGATATCTGTATGTGTTAGGTAATCCCCTGGTAAATGAAATATGTCCGAAAATTTAAAACATGTTTCGAGCACACTTTCTCTCTCGTCTTCCGCTAAATGGTCTAAACAGAGGTTTTCCTGCAGTGGTGTGATCCTATCTCTTTCGTTGTTACTTTTATAATTACTCCCCTTGGAATTAACAACTAAGACATTATTTTTTTCTTCTAAATACGGTTCGCATTTGATGTGTTCTATAGTTAACTCTTCGATTTCTACTGGTTCTTCCGAAATGTTAATTATATTTCCAATTATGTTATCCCCATTTATTTTACTTATACTATTTCCTATGATAACATCCTCTGTTAATTCTTGTTTATTAATTATCCAGCATTCCTGTTCATTTTCTTTGAGAGATTTGTTTACTTTGATATTTACTAAACAATTACTTCTTGCTGGTATAATTATTGATTTATTTAATTCGTTTTCATCCGGAAATAGTAGAACTTCTTTATTTAGATCTATAATTGCTTTATTATTTTTTAAAAAAAAACGTCCCAATAGACCTCCGCTTGGTATTGGGAACCACGGTTCTACGACATCAAATTTGTCCTCCACACATATTCCATTGAAATTTAATTTTAAAAACGTATACCCTAATGTTTTTATTGGCTCGTTATTTATCCCCTTGATTACGCTAACATTGTCTTGATAGACCAAAATGTCTTGACGCAATGCCGTCAACTTAACTATATTTAAATCGAACCCGCTGTCCAAGAAAAATTTGCCTTGCCCCTCTGCCAACTGTTTCGACATACATGCGACCTCATTGTTTTTAATTTCAGTCACAATGCGCACAGTATTAGCCAATTCTTGTACCGTTTTGGCACCTTCATTAGCATTGTCATTATAATTGCTCCCATTATTTCTATTATAACCTGCTTTTTGTTTTCTTTCGTTGGCGAGTTTCTTAAAGCAATTTTTTGTTTCATGGGACCCCTTTTTGCAATACTCGCAAACCCTTACTGTATTTGAATCTTTTTGAGGACCGTTAGTATTTGGGTTTTTGAAATTAGGATTATTATTACTCGAATTTCCCCTACATTGAGCCTTAATATGACCTGTTTTACCACACCCATAACAGCGATTATTATTTTTATCGTTGTTATTTTGGTTGGATTTTTTAAAGTTATTCCCGTTCTTGTAAGAACTATTCTGACCGTATCTATCATTAAGTAATTTTCCCTGTTCGGACGCCAGAGAAATGCCCTCCTCGAATGTCGAGATATTCCTAGCTCTTAGTATTATACTTAATGAACTATGAACCCCATTTACTAGAATGGCGAGTGCTTGTTTAGCTATAATTTCCGCAATAATTTTAGTTTCCTGACGTATTTTATCTATGGTTAAAGCTCCCGTTAGCTTATTTTGGACATCTAATATTCGATTCCCAAAGCTGAATACGTCTTCCTTATGCATTTGTTTCAGAGAATTTAATTGCATTTGCAAACTCGGAATAGAACTTATATTTCCAAAAATATTTTTTAAATGAATCTTTAATTGACCCCAATCGTCACATTGGACGAAACGAACAGCATCATGTGCTTTTCCTGTCAAGGCAGCTATAAGTGCCTTTAAAATAATTGGCTTTAAATTTTCTTCAATATTTGACCAGACAAAATCTCCTTTTGAAAGATAAAGTGATAACCCGCTTTCGCTACTGCCATCATAAGATGGGATAAGTCTTAAAGCGGAATCCAAAGAAATGAAAATTGGAGTTTGGTTAGCCGTTGATACTATGCGTCCACTTCTTAATATCATAAAATATTTTTCTGATTAAAAAAAATTGTATACCGAAACTTTCTAAAAAGATTACTTGTCAATAAGAAATAACAATATTATTTCAATATTTAATTTCTGGCAAATATTATTCAAATAACTCCGTTATACAATAATCTGTTAACCAATTTTTTATTTTGTTTTAATTTAACTTTATTGTTAACTTTTAAACTTCCAGGGCTGACGGATTATCCAATTACCATAAATAATGCCCCAACAATTGTCCTATATGAATTATTAATTACTATTAATCGAAACTTGATATATCATGCTGACTTACAAATAGTCCATGATTTTTTTTCTTCTGATGCTGGATGCCTTATTATCTTCTTTGCCTGGACTGGATTCTTGACTCTTCTGTAGATGGACGTCTCCACTTGCAGTTGAATCACTGAGGACTCTTGGACTTCCCCTAAAAATCCGACTTCCGACACCAATTTATGTACTGCGCCAAGAGATTTAAGCAGCACACTTATAAGACTTATAGAAGATATGAAAAGGTAATTCAGACAGAGAAAAAACAAGTTTATAGTTATGTTTAATTAACACTTTTAAACACGCTAATAATTCAAGACAATACTTATAATAGTGACACAGAGTATCAATTAGATCACTGAGTATACTAATTAAGTACTGCGGTGTCTAGATGTACTTGCTTTGTTATTCATTTATTGTTGTATGACATAATTTGTCGTTAAATGTGAAAAATAAAATTATCCAAAACGAAATATTATGTATCATGTTAGTATTACAAACGTCGACGTTTGATAACCTAATAGCACAGATAAGATGATAAGTTATAAGATAACATTCTTCCGTTCTTTTTGTGTTTTCCTATCGGTATACTTGCTAAAACTACCCTATTTTCCTTAGAAAAATTTGTTAGTTTTAGGTGGAAATTCCCATTATTTTCATCGTCGTATGCCGTAATATTAAGTATGAGTTTTATTCCTGGTAACCTTAATCCTTTCATTATATTTAAATCATTATTTCCATTCCAAAAAACCAGAATGGGTGGTCGATTACCCTTGTGTAGATAATTTTGGATAAATACGGTTGACAGTGTGTTTTTTCCTTTGTTGAACACACTTTCCCTGAGTTCTTTTGGCAATCGCTTTTCTGGTTCGTACCGAAAAATTTTTTTAATATGGTTTTGCACATCCGGTAAATTTACTTTTTGAAAAACCCTTAGTTTTCCCTCTTTTGTTAATATCAGCGGTCTCCCTACCAGTTTTACCACTTTGAACTTGTCTAGGCTGTTTGATATTGCTCCGGATACCAACAAAATGTCTTTCCCATTAACGTTTGTGAATTCGAAATCTGCTACTATAAATTTAATTTTTGACCTAGAACAATAATTAATTATACTTTTTCTTTTTATTCTATTTATTATTGTTAGAGTAAAAAAAACACATTATGCAAACAGTCTAATAAAAAACATTTACGATTTCTTTACTCAAAAAATTGTTTGACATTCTTTATGTGTATTCGGACTCTCTTTCGCCCCTTTAATATTAGTATGTTTTCGTTAGCGTATACTTCTAGTACCTGCCAGGGTCCTGTCCAATGTTTATCAAATGTATTTCTTTTTTTATGATTTTTTACCAAAACTTTACCTCCTTCGTGGATTTGGATGGGTTGGACAGATTGGTCATACCTTTCTTTGTTTGCTTCTTTACTTTCCAAAATATTTTTCCTGGCTATCTCATGGCTTTCCTGTAGCTTTCTTTTAAGATCGAAAGAGTAATCATCATAGTTATATTGTGGACTTGGTGCTTGTGATAAGGCCGAGGGGATTTGTGGTTTGTGTCCAAAAACTAACTCATATGGGGTGTATGATGTTGACGTGTGTGTTGAACTATTAAACCAAAATGTAGCAAAACAAAGCATTTTATCCCACTTCTGACACCAATTTATGTACTGCACCAAGAGATTTAAGCAGCACACTTATAAAACTTAGAAGATATGAGAAAGGTAATTCAGACAGAGAATAAACAAGTTTTATAGTAATGTTTAATTAACACTTTTAAACACAATAATAATTCAAGACAATACTTATAATAGTGACACAAAGTATCAATTAGATCACTGAGTATACTAATTAAGTACTGCGGTGTCTAGATGTACTTGCTTTGTTATTCATTTATTGTTGTATGACATAATTTGTCGTTAAATGTGAAAAATAAAATTATCCAAAACGAAATATTATGTATCATGTTAGTATTACAAACGTCGACGTTTGATAACCTAATAGCACAGATAAGATGATAAGTTTTATGTATGTTACAAACTACAAACTGTGTAAATAACACACGAGTCCACACGGTCGATATTTTATGTGTTCTTATCTACAATAATATTAATTATTATGTACACCATTCGACGGGAAACATGGCCTGGGCCTGATAAATTCCTGAAGGCAAACGCAGCAACGTCGACCGTTTAAAATGATAAATAGGAAACCCAATACCTAATAATGTAATTGCCCACATTATTCTACAAAGCCGGCCATGGATAACGGGCTGTGTGATTTTCCCTTTTTTTGGTTTTTGATTAGGTTTTGAGTGAACGAAAATCCAAAATTATTTTACCATTTACATAAATGGTTGTTAAAAAAAACGATTTTGAATATAGTACCAAAAAGCGAGCATTACACTTTGCCAAAAAGATCATATATATAGTAATATTCATTTTGCGCATAAGGAAGAAATTATTATATTTATGAAAATCTAATTTCACGAAAACCCGCCTTTCCAACGGTATACTAATTAAGTGTCTATGTTCATTGAAGACTTGGAATCTGACCAGGGAAATGAGATTATTCTCACTTATAACGACGGTGGAACATATTGTTTCTGAATAAGAAAAACGATCGATGCCCATTTTACTTGAATCATTAAGGGGATTGAAAGTGTTTGAAAACTTAAGGCTAAAAATACGAATAATCTGTAGTACAATATTGCCACGGTCGAGATTTATTAAAACCAGCAGAGGAGAGCAAACAAACCACCTGCAAACATCATTATCTAATAAAATCATTGTCATCGCTCATCGTTGTCTGTAATGTATGTTGTAATATCTGTTGTACTACAAAGAATGGATTTTGAACGTGGTTATTAAAAAGTAAGCAGCGTTGAAAAAACAAAAAACAAAATTTTTATAAACGAGTTATACTTGCGTTTTAAATTTGTATGTTCAGTTCCAAGTTGAAAATATTCAAATCGAAATAGTGTACTGTTGTGAATATACATATAAAATCACATTTAAACACTTTATCAATGTGACAGTTTTTTTGTGGAGGGTTAAAGGGTAGTACCTAAGGACGGACAAGGACAAATAAGTAATAGCATTGATTATATAATATTATATAATATAATGTACTCAATACTAATGCCTACTTGTCATAAACCATAAACCCCCTAGGGCCTAGACCGTAAAAGGTTCTTTAATGTGCAACACGTTTAAGGTCCGCCGACTGGCGAGATTACAAGAAATGACATAAGAAATTTAATTTTAATTTCTGTCAACGCACTTTTAAGATATCTAATGTAGGTACTATAGATTTTTAAAGGGATTTAATAAAAAAAAAAAAACACACAAAACGTCACAGTACAATATTTTAAACAGTCGGAATTTGGACGGAAATAATATGTTATTATTTCTAAGGAATTGTGCGTTTGACTAAAATAATTAGGACTAAATTTTGTAATTTTGGTTTTAACATCTTTCATTTATAGTTATTTTTGTCAAGTGCTTATATTCGCCAAATGAAAAATTTATGTCTAGTGTCTTACTACTGTCTTGAAGATGTATCTTTAAATAATAAAGATGCACCATATTATTAGAATAATTATTCCAGTGAAAAAATCAAATATATTATGGACTCATTTTTAACGCATCACATTCATATTTAAAAATATCGAAAGGAACTGTTGAAGTTTGATCGTTTACATCTATTGAAATTAAAATTAAGTCAATCAATTGTTTATCAGGTGCAATTTTTAGTTACCTATTTTCTTTTTA